CAGATCAGTTCCTAGGAAACTGACAGCCCGACACCAGCACATGAGATTTGATTATAGTGGTGAAGGTTTTGTGCAGAACAATCCACACTTTATGAAGGGCCGAATACAGAGACTTGGTGCACTATGTGCCACAGGGTCCCCAAACGACCCTCAACAGGTTTTGAATTCAGAGTTGTACTTCTCCTAGCCTAGTTGCCATCCAAGGCTATAGAACCCAGTCTGTCCTGTTATTTACCCATAGCTGGAGGGAGAAGAAGAGGATTCATACCTTTCCCAAGGGTATTAGCACATAAGTAAATGTAATGGATTTGACTGGAATTCAAACTTGGCTCTCTGATTCCTCATTTCAAGTCGCTATCCATTACTCCACCATGCCTATCCTTTGTGAATAATATATATATATATATATATATATATATATAAGAAGAGAGAAACCGCAAGCATTTTTGGATGTAATGAGGATTTTTAAAAAAATATATATTATATTTTATTTCCTACAATTTTGCTGCACGTGTTTCCAGTCTTGCAACCTTCTTCAAGCAAAGAGTGGATATTTCCACATATTACTAAAATGAATTCATTTTCCTTATGGTTTTCTGTGTTAAACATTCTCTTTTTTTTGAGTAGTAGTGACACAAATGTCTTTCTTGGACTGGTATTACGAAAGTTCTTCTGCTTGAGGATAATAAAACAATTAAGATTGGTCCAAGAAAGGGTGTGGAAAGATATCTGTATTCTTATCTTTTAATGACCCTGTATGTTAGATTAATTTTCTATTTTTTTGTATTGTGTTTTTCATGGAAAAGTATGGAGAAAAATCCTTGTCGAAAATATCTCCATACTTTTCTGGGAAAAAAATGAACACAAACTAAAAATTCTTGAGCTATTTATATGAAAAAAATTGAAACCAAACCTCAATAAAATGAATTATGAATACTCTACAAACATTTTAAAATGTGTACAATAGATAGTCTTTAAATGTTAGCGCTCGTCATTAATAGTTTTTTCTTTAGCTAGCAATTACTCAAGTCTGGAATTTTTCCAGAGTATACCTAGTTACCTCCCATTAAACGAAGTCCGACACCCAAGCCATGACACAGCATTCCTGATTCCACATATAAAAATGGTAATTTTCTGATGACTGCAACAATTTTTGTCCCTCACAACCATGAACACTAAATACTTACTCTATAAATAACAATACTCTGATGATGATATTATGCTATGTCAAAAGTACTCAGAAATAAATACAATATGAGCGAACATGGTATTTTCCTCTTGTCTTTTAAAAACCATGCAAAAAAGCTGATCCCCAAATATGAAAGGATCCAATCAAAAATAAGTAGACAGAACATGTCTAAATTATTTAACGAAACTTGTCTTAATATATATATATATATATATATATATATATATATATATAAAAAGAAAGAACAGTAAGATATATAATCCTGTGTACTTATTGATATTTTTTTTTATTTTTACAAAACAGTGCTCAATGTAAATTTAATTAATAATTACATAATTAAATTTGAAGTTTTCAGCTTCAGTTTTTGAAACATGGTTATTACTGTGTAGCAAAAAAACATATTTCAAATCAGTTAATTTATAATATATATGTGTGTGTGTGTGTGTGTGTGTGTGTGCAAAAGTTACTAGTTCACTGGTTTTGAGATTTTCATATTCAGTGTTCCTTTATCCTGTGGTGCAAAAAAAAAAGTTTAGGCCCTCAAAACCTGCCACTATACATGTGACCCTACAGGTTGTTGCTATCAAAGTTGGGCAAAACAATAGCAAAAGCAAAGAAGATGATTGACAAAGTCTTTGATGAAGTCTTTTGCTATGGTTTCCTTGGAAGCAGTATATACTGGGAATGGTTTGCAAAGGTTAAAAAAGGGGAATTTGTGGATTTTCCCCATGACAGTGGTTAATTCCAAGAATTTGGTATTGATGACTTACAAAGTGTTTTGGATATGAGCCTTGTCCTATTCAATCAACAGTGCAATTGACTGACAGACTCAGTATTGATTAGTCAACTGTTGTAAGATATTTGGCAAATATAGGGAAAATTCTAAAAGCAGAAATATTGATTGTCAGATTGAAGAATTCAGACAATATCTCAACAGCTGCATTTCGTTTCTTGTCAGACATGAAAAAAAATCTTTTTCTGGAAGATTATTAATAGACATGAAAAATTGGGCCCATAACAAGAATCTAAATTGTTTTTTAAACATTTGTAACATATCCATTATCTTGCTGGTGGCGTGTGGGGTGATATGTTGTTGGTGCACAATCTAATTTAGGTAACTGTGATTACAAGTTATTCCAGGTGCTATCTGAAAAAGACAATCTTGACCCTACATACATTGAAAAAGACGTAACACAGTCTAATGGCTATGCAATGCATTAAAATTAAACAAATGAATTTTAAATGAAACTAAAGATAAAGATTTTTTAATAATGACTTATTTGGATGTTTTATACACCGTCTAGTGTGTTTAATAAAAAAACCCTTGAGAAGAGAAAAATTGGTACTTAACTTGGTTGCAGAATCTACATCTGCAAAGTGGGGAAAGTCTGAGATTATTTACCTTTGAACTCTTCACTGAATCAGGATGTGACAAAAGGTCAGTTTGTTTTACGTGGGGAACCAGAGTCTCTCTACTCAGACCACTGGTCTTTTCTGGTCTTAGCTAGTCATAGCCAGTCAAGAAACAATGCTATGGAACAGATCCAAGAATTCTGGCCAAACAGCAGGGAGGGGATGGGGACGGGATGGGGAGAGGCCTTGGGACTGAACAGATACTACAACAGCAGCATCTCCCCAACCTCAAGATTTTTAACTGACTTTCCTTTTTTTTTAATGGTTTGTATTTATAGTTTCCAGATAACAGGTGCTGGCTCATAAGGAAGCCCTTCAAAAATATGAAGGAAGTGCTGTCTGTGGTTGAATAATAACATGGATTTTATTTTCAACTATTTTAAAACATTTCTGGAAGTGCCACTTGGAGCCTATGTGTAATCTCTGATTTTGGTCATTTGAATCCTGACTTTGAGATGGCTACTTCCGGTCAATCTGACAATGCAGTACGTATATTTCACTAAAATATTTAACTTTTTATGATACTAAAAAATAAAAATGAATTGGATATTTAGACATTGCCTATTTCTTCTCTTAATTTACATCTCAAAACTTATTTTTGAATGTTCACGCTACCCAGCAATAGATTTTTTTTATTTAAAATTAATCTATCATACTTTTTTGTTTGATATGACTATATTTCTATATATTAATAAACTATGAAAAGAAAAAAAAACATATTGTCTTTCATTAAGAATGAAGAGAGAAAAATTTATAAGAAAAACAAGAAAATCTTTTGAGTGTAACTGGGGCTAATGATGTTCAATCAGATTGATTTCCAAAAAACAAATATAGCCAAACATATCAAATAACTTATATAAACAACTGTTATCACTGACATCTGCCTACTTTGTGTTTTATTATCTATTGTGAGTGTACTGAGTGTATTTGTAATCTTGCTGTTTCAAATAAGAGGTTTTTTAAGCTGAGGTCAATTTCTGGAAACGTAGACTTGAGTATAATATGACCCCACCTATATGCACTAGAAAATACTCTTAATTTAATATGTATTATTAATATCTGTCTATATTTCTGAGATGAGGTATTATGTACACTATTTACATTATTCGGACTATTATCCTCATCTTTGTCTCCATATTTATTACAACTGCCTTAACTGGGCTAGATCCAGTGACAGGACCCAAAGAGTGTGAGTTCAATACTCGGTTAAGGCAGTGGAGAACTTGGAGAGGGGAATTAACAGGAGATAACTCATAACTGACATCCATTAAACATGGCACGTGAAACTAGAACAGTCTACCCCAGTGAACAAAATAAAGGGTTCAGTTTGACATTCCAACCACCTGAAGAAGGCCGAAGCATACAATGGCTGAAATGTTGTAATAAATATGGTGACAAAGATGAGGACAATAGTCCGAATAATGTAAATAGTGTATTATTAATATATTTTTAATATACCACATGCAAACTGATATGAACAATATCTGTCTATATTTCTGAGATGAAGTATTGAATTATTTGCACTATTTACATTGTTCAGACAGTTTTTCTCATCTTTGTTGCTATATTCACAATGTTTCAGCTATTAAACTCTTCAGCCTTCTTGAGGTGGTTGGAATTTTAAACTGAACCATTTATTTCATCTACCGGGGTAGATTGTTCTAGTTCCATGTGTCATGCCTCTTCTGGATATCTCAGTTAACTCCCTTTAACTCAACTTGGAAAGTTGGGTTAAAGAGAGGTATTGAATTCACAAGTCTTTGGATCAAGTTACTGGATACAACCGACAATTTTATCCATTGGGCCAGATAAAAATGTTGGCTGGATCATTATAAATGATTAGAACAAAACAATAAATTTCTTTTCATATAACAACTCATATATCTGTATATATAAATATAGATTATTCTTTTTCAATTGTACCTACCTTTCCCCTTTCTCCACATCATTGTGTAAAATGGTTAACAGAAATATTTGTTTATATTGATCTATTTTCACCATTGTTGTTTTTATAGGGACATTGTTATGAGTCATTCACATGTCGTCCTGGGTATGACGATAAACAGCAAGGCCTCTGATAACGTTTTTGAAAAAATAATGTTGCCAGCTATACATTTTTGAGGAAAAAATATTAAAAGAAATAGATTTTTGACAAAACAAAAATATTACCAGGAAAAAACAAAAAAGTTGTCAGCATTAAATGACCCATTGAGGTTGATATGCCGTAAACAAACTAAACCAAACCATCATTCACATGTCTATCATATTCAGCAACATTACAAAACAGATCAATATTGAATCAATATTGAATGCAGATGTGAGAAATTCACATGGAAAATATAATATTGTTTAAATTCAACAAGAAAGAGGAAATTAAGAAAGAAAACAAAAAACTTACATGTTAAGACGAAACCAATAAGTAAAGCAATACATATTGATAGGTTGGCAGCAAATACAGACGCTTTATTAAGAATTGTTCGCATTCCAATCGTGAAAATGATCCCAAAAACCTGAGAAAAGAAGAAAAATGATGATAAAAATCCTGAATTTGTTTCATTTATTGGTGCCAATGTCAGGGAAAAAATTATCAAAAAAATAAAAGACAAGAACAAAAAAATTAATCTGAATTCTGTATTTATTTTATTTGTAGGCATATTGAGAAATAGTTGCCTAAAGAAATATGTAAGCAAATGTTCAGTTTAATCTCTCTCCCCAACTACCTCTATCCTATTATGTGTTTCCCAGATATAGATACATGCATCTAATATCAATCAATTTAGCAATTAATTAATTATATATATATATATATATATTCAGTTGTATGGATATGAGTTTGTTTGTTAGCTTTATCACTGATATTGAGCACTTTCCAAGTTATTATTAAAGTTATTAAATTAAACATTAAGTTACCATTTTCACATTGAAACAAAATTGCATTTTTGTAGTGGTACCGTAAATGTTCTAATGTAATAACTTATAATAAATAATTATTACTCTACTTTTAAATTAATACTATGAACGTTTGAATTTATGTTAATTTCTTTCTCTTTACATTTATATATATATATATATATATATATATATATATATATATATAACTTTAAAAATCAAGAGATCAGTTGAATCTGCTACTTTTAGCCATTTTCAAGGATTAAATATTGTAGACATACATACAACAAACTATTTCTTATTGAACAGTTAAAATATTTAATCATTGAAAATGGCTAAATGTATAGTCAAAAGTGCTTGGATAAAAAGATGATTCGGATAGTTTTTATATAATTTATCGTCTGAAAAGAAAAAAGTTATTAGATTGCATGAGAAATTGTATAAGAAACTAAATAAAAGTACCTTATCTATCATATTCAATGAAATGTGCATGAAAGAAGGATTGCTGCCTAAATACACAAATATATACATACATACATACATATATATATATATATATATATATATATATATGTGTGTGTGTGTGTGTGGATATACAAATCAATACTGCATTGTGAATGTCAGTTTCACACCTCAAGCAATCTTCAGACAAAGATCTGGCAATCTCTTGAGGTGTAAAACCAACAGTGACAATGCAGTGTTGATTCCTATGCTCAAAATTTTTATATATACAAACCCTCTAATTCCAATAGTGAACAGTCATCCCCTATAAATATATATAGCTGGCCACTTATATTCAAGGATACCCGTCTACTAGGGCAGCTAGCCAATCCCTATTGCAGACGCTTACTCAGGCACATTTGAGTTTATTCAACACCTACAGAACTCACCTGTGGTTTATACTGCAACTATGCTGAGCAGACCTTAGTTAGAGTTTCTGGGAAAGAGCGTGTTATATAGCGTGGTCAACAATTTGAACAAGGCCAGCACATTCAAGCCCTTGGCCATGATGAGTTGTGACCATGCTATCAACGGATCCCAAGAGTTCCATCTATCCAATTTCACTCACAAGGCTTGGGTCAATTTGTGGTATGGTTTTCAGGCACTTTTTGAAGGTGCAGCATGCTGGGATCGACCCCTCCAGTTTGATAACATCAGGTCTGACAAATCAACCATGGTGAAATTTGAACCCTGATCTCATGGTCGGCCATGTGCCCATTAAAAATTATATTATAATATAATTATACTATAATATTATAAATATAGCAATCTTTAAACACTATATATGTGTGTGTCTGTGTGTGTGTTTTGAAGAATAAGAGTTTGTTTTAAAAATGAAAAATATCAAATTTGTAATTTTAAACAGATGATAATTAAAGCAGACATTTTTCATTACTCTATTAACAGATTAATGAAAACATTTGTTGCGATTAAACAATTTGTAAAAAGACTGTAGACTGGTAGATATTTTATCTTTTACCTGTGCTGAGGCATTCATAAGCCCTGATGATGTTCCTTCAGGTTCGGGAAACGTAATCTCCACAGCAAACTCAAACCCCACTGGTAAGTAACCGGTCATGAAAAACCTTCAAAAGATTATGAAAGAAAGAACGTTCAGCTAAGTGCCATACGCGATACACGTTTGGGCAATTATTTCTCTTCAATTCAGGGCTGAATAGGTAGAAGATTTTCCCACAGTAGGTTGATGTTTCTTTTTGCAGTAGACTGGTTGCTAACCAAAACTATAGGACTCAGTCTATCCTGATATTTAACCCATAGATGGGGGAAGAAGAGATGGATTCATAACTTTCTCAAGGATATTTGCATGTAAGTGAATGTAATGAACCCAACTGGAATTCAAGAAATTCTACATTACACCACAATTTGCAGAACACAATTTTTTCAAAATATTTTATGTTTGATGCAAAAACAAAAATTCACACATCTTAATTTACAGCAACATTTGTTTGTTGCAAAGCAAAATCATATTTGTTTAGTTTTATTTATATGAAAAATACAGTAAACAATTAATCAAATCCCTGACACTGGTCAGTTTATATTGTCTGATGAGTTTGAAGCCATTGTCAAAAATGCAAGGATAATACGATGAACAGAATTAATAAAGTTTGCAATGAAAAGAAAAAAAATCAAAAAAGATGAAACAACAAAAATCATGCAAGCAAACAAACAATTTTGTTAAAGCAAATCAAAATTGGTAAGAAAGCAAAAGAATTCACAAACTATGAGTTGGTGTTTGTATGCAAAAGCAAAGGTCAGACAGCAAAGGTCAGACAGCAAAGGTCAGTAGGCCTCATCTCTCCACAAGGCAGGATGTGGCACAAGGCCGTTTTTATGTGGGGCGAGAATGAGCAAAAATTCCCCGTAGACCTTGCATGCATAGGGTCAAGCTTGTCTACTTTCTCTACCGAAGGCAAAGAGTTCAACAAGTCAGCCCAAACTGCCTGAATTGGCAGATCTGGACTGAGTCATATCAAAATGCAAGCCATCCCATTTTATTGGCCAAGAAAAATATCCCAGCATGCATTTTGTGTCCTTCTGACTATAAGAGGGAGAAAAGTTTTGCAATCATTCCTAATACTAATGGGAAATCAACAAAGTTTTCTTTGTAACATTATCATTGTACATTTTAATAAAAACACATAATGTTTTATTCAACTCTGGTCATTATCAATGTAGCTTTGGAGTTTTCTCTACATTCGTGCTAGGATCTAAAAATCTCACTTCTTTTTCCTTCTCATTTGAGTGTTTATATATCTGCCTGTCATATGTTTTTTTCAACTTGTGCAAATCCTAGACAGAGCTGGGTTAATCATGTGTTTACATGTCAGATCAGTCATTAACATTAGGTGAAGTGTGGATCAGATCTTGGTAGCTAGGAAGTTATTGTTCAGGTCAACACATTGATGCACTTAGCATCTCTGAAGGACACTAAGTGCAAAATCTATTTTATCATCATCTAATTGAAGTTATATACAACATTGGCTTTCAAATCTAAATTTAAATACAACATTAATCATCATCTGTCTCTTTGAATCTTGTTCTTCTATTGCCCTTTTTTCTCAATAATAGATTTTCCCAGATTCTTTCACTCTCAGTGACCCCTTTGCATCTTATTGGCTTTATTGCCTTGCTTAAGATGAAATGATTAAAAAAAGAAGCTTATATAAAAAAAGATTTTTTTCTTCACAGAAGAACATGACTTCTAATCCACAAAAAAGTGCTTCTCCTTTCAATGAGTATTTCTCCCTCATTTGCTGAAGATTTCTGATTTCTGCTTCAGTTTTGCTTTTTGTTTTCTGGAATTCTCAGTGTATTTTAGGTTTTGCTTCATAAAACAAAAAAAAACATTTAAAGATATGAAATAAGAAAAGGCAGTAAAAAACTTACCCTAGTGCACCTGCACTGAGAAAGAGAATCCAAATTTTTCCCAGGTCCAAAGTAAATGTGAAAGCAATCATTCCACCCATAGATAATAAATACATCATTAATGTGGTGCTCCTAAAATAATAATCAAAGAATATTTAAGATGATGTCTGAATTTCTTAGATGAACCATCTTTATTATTATTCATTTCATTTCTGTTCTCTTAACTCACAATACTCAGACCCTTTTTTATATCTTATGTTCATTAATCAGAAAAGAGTGGGAATAAGGAATTAATCACTAATAAAATTTGAAGTCATATTCTACGTTCTTGGAAGGTAATCTAACATGGATGGTATTTTAACAATTAAAATTCAAATTTACTTATATTCTATCTTATTTGATTTTCTTCTTGTCATAATGTTAGGTTACACCTTGTAGATATTGTCATTGGCACCCGCTCAAATCCAAGCATTGGGATCATCATCCTATCTCTCCCTGTACCATTTCTCTCCCTAAATGGCAGTGACAGAGATGGCTGTGAATCAAAGAGAGTTTGATTCACAGCCATTCATGTGAATCTGATTTTGGTGGAAAACTGTGCATGACTGAGAAGCCCACACACTTAGCCGGAAGCACCTCCCCCATGGTTCAAAGGAGATTGAGACAGGTGTGATCTGGCAAACCTAATTGCATTGGGCTGTTGGATTCTTGGTTGGTCAAATTCTTGTCAAATTTGTGGTTCCTGACTTTTGCAGGAAATTGACGTTAGCTGAGACATTGTGTAAATCAATGGAGATTCTGCCATTTGGGTCAAGTTTATGGGTTGGTCATTTTCCACAGAAGTGCTTCATTTTCATGCATACCATTAAATAAGATGAAAGAAAAACCATATTCTTGAAATTTGTGGATCTGCCTTTTCATGGAAGATCAGCTTTATTGAAATATCTTCAGACACACTGAATCACTGAAACATTTCTTTGAAATTTCTTCAGGATCTGCATTTTATCTGAAGAAATTTGATCAAATATCTTCAGGATTGAATCACTGAAGAAATTTTCTTGTGAAATATTTTCAGGATCTGAATTTTCAGTCAAGAAGATATTCACAAACATATCATTCAGGATTGAAACCATACTGTATTAATTTTTTCATCTTTGCATGTTCACATTTACCATAATGTCACATATTCTTTTATAAGATGGAAGAAAACCTTATTCTTGTGATTTGTAAAATGCATTTGCATACAAATAGGAAATTAGCTAGAATGAGTTAATACAATTATAAAATCATATTGTTGTCTTTGAACCATTTGTCAAACTGCAACAAATCAGAAAAAAAAAAAAAGATTTAGGTAATCACATGCATTTGACACATCTGGAGAAAACCAACATTTCTGTATTTTGTGGATCTGCATTTCTCTCTCTCTCACATATGTTCAAACATATGCATATATATATATATATATATTATATATATATAATGTTTTGTGTTGTGTGTTTTTACAGTGTGTGTGTTTAGTTTCCATTAATTTCAATATACTGAAGGCCATATTGTTGTGAAGTTTGTGGATTTGCATTTTCACAGAAGGCACCTTCAGTGAGACATATGCGTGCACACACTCAAGAGAATCAATATTCTTTTAAAGTTTGATGATCTATATTTTTATGGAAACCATATGTTGTCAATAATATTCATACACGCATTGGAAAAAAAACTATAATTTTGTGTTTCTCCATTTTCATATTGTGGATATTCACTGAATTTATACATTCTTTTGAAGTTTCCGGATTTGCATTTTTGCACAAGTCAAATATGGTCAATCATATGCATATAAACAGTGTGGCCAGAAGAAAACATTTTTGGTGATTTTTATCTGTATATTTTTCAGACCAATTTTAAATCATTGAATACACAATGGATGGAAACCAATCAATTAGTGAACATTAATTTGAATCTGTAAAGAAAATTCTTTTTCACTGCACCATAAACTCATATCACCTGAAAAAAATTTCAAATACTTGAAATCAGATATACCAATTGCTGATTAGTGAACATCTTTAGAATACCTCATTTCATAAAACCTAATGAATAAGTTATGGATCTGTACATCATCAACATCCTGAAGGGTTTTCCCAAGAAGAAGAACATTGTAGGTAAACTATTTTAGTCAGAAAGAATAAAGGGGATAGTTCAAGAACATTTTTGTTTTGTTGATACTATCCCAATGTCATCAATTTAATTTCAAATGTGACTTAAATAATTCTTTAACCAAATTCCCCAGAATCATTTTGAAAGACCCTGAAATTTATAAAGTAAAATCATTTCATGAATAATTTTTCCAAAATAATTTGAAAAGAGTTGGCAACATTTTCATGAACACTGTTGTGTCATTTTATATTTCATAAAAACACACTTAGATAAAATGTTTTCTTTCAAAATGTTTGTAATCTTCATTTTCAGTCAATGTGAGAGATTTAATAAAACAGGAAAAGACTTTAAAATAGGTGATTTTTTATGTTTGACTCTCATCTGGACAATAAAAATATTTATCCACTTATCCTTTTCTCTCTTCCTTTTTTAAGATGGATGAAAAAACAATCATATCAATTGCCTTCCATTTTCAATTTGGCTGTCACTGGCAGGCCAAAAGCAGGCCAATAGTGGTCTGCAAATAAACAAAAGGAAAAAGAACACAAAACAACAGGATTTGGCCACCTAGATATAATGGACAATGTCACTTATTTATATTAAAGTCAGCCAAAAAGGTTGTCAATTTTTAAATAAATTGTTTCTCACCAAAAAAAAAAAAAAAAATTTTTTTTTTTAAATTAAAAATGTTTTGTGTTATTTTCATAGATTTGCATTCAGTTGACCTTCCTCAAGCCTTCAAAATTTGTGTATTTAAAAATATTTTTTATCAAGTAAAAGGACACCCTGTTCTATAATCTTCAATAAAAAAAAAAGAAATCCATAGTATACAGAGTTATTGGACCTGACTTTTATTTACTAATGTCAAGTTTGAAACCCTGCTTATGTCAGTGATATCTCCATTTTATTAATTTTCTGAATTTTTAAAACTTTTTTTAAAACGTTTTCTGGAGAGATTTTTGGTAAGCACATGCACAAAAATTAGTGATAATAATTTTCTTAAATGAAGAATAAAAGAATATACTTTTATTAATTTATATAAATATTTGTTCTTTAATTAAAAATGTAAAAATGTATATATCTGTTCTTTATTTAAAAGAAACCTTTCTTTATATTTATTATATAAAAAAAGTTCCAGTTTTCATTATAAGAATAACTATGTCCAGGTAACTTATAAAAATTACATTGATCGAATTTAGTTAATGTTTCAATATTAAGAGACATCCATCCCTTATAAAATTGATCAAAATTTTATATTTTTTGTTCTATAAATTTCACATTGAGGATGGTTCCATGAATTGATGAGTGGCAAAAAATATTTCAAAAGTGTTTTCCTCCATGTTTTTTTTTTTCTGGACCATTAAATATTTCTGGTTGCTGTTTTCAATTTTTGGTGAAGAGACAGAAATCTTGCAAAAACTGTCTTGAGCTTGGCTGCTCAAATTTTCACTAGTTTGCAATATTTGCCAGACATTGCATCTTTGAATTACAATTTATTCTGCTCTTTATGGAATTGTCTTTATTAAAAAAAAAAAAATTAATTTCCTAGAAAATCTGCAAATGATGCGGATTTTGCCAAGTTCTTTAATTGAAAAAGATAAAAAATATGTCTGTTTTGGAATTATGAAGCCTTCTCATGAAAATCAAATCCAACATGAGTTAAAAAAACCGAAAGATTTTGGCTAATAAAATTTTAATAAAATATTAAATAAAATCCTGTTATTTTGTCTTCAAGTAAACAAATTTTCTTTTTATGTAACAAATATATTTACTGAAATAAAAATGATTTTTTCTGCATTCATTCTGATCTCATAAATTTTATTTGCATTGGCAAACCTCTACTATATCTATAATCTAATCAGAGGTTGGAACCCGGCTATCTTTGTTTCCTTATGGAAAAAATAATCCAATGCACGGTGTTGGTAAACTATAGCCTGCTGGTCATATCCCTCTGGGATATTTCATCTCTCGAATCGACTATATGAAATATACCATGTGATAATCTCTCTCTCCTCAAATAAAATTTTGATATTAATTTCCTTTACCGCTTTTTTCCTCTCAAATTCTTTGAGATTGTCTATTGTTTTTCCGACAACATAGACAATGTCTCTCCTCCACCCATCAGATCTACAGTTAACTGATATTTAGAAATGCTTCTCAGATGAAAGGATATTCTGTCTTAACAATATTTCACTGACCATGCAGGCATTCAAACGCTTAATTTTTCAATCTCCCATTCCCTCACACAGATAGTTAACTTCCCCACTCGTTTTGCCTTCAACCTTCTCTACTCGACCTGTGCTTTACATCCATCCCCGAATCCTGCAGCGCCTCGCAACTATGCCCTTTTGGTAACTCTGACCATGCAGTAGTATCGGTTAACATCTCCTTTAACTCCACCCCCTATAAAGAACCTCCTCCCACTAGAACTTCGTTCTATTATCAACTAGCTGACTGGGACGTGTTCCGTGATTTCCTCCGCGATGTCCCCTGGGATGGAGTCTTTAAGCTCCCCGTCCAAGAATGTGCTTCTGAGGTCTCTTCCTGGGTTAAAGCTGGAATCGACGCTTTCATCCCATCAAGGAAATATAGGGTTAAGTCGCGCTCCTGCCCCTGGTTCTCGGCTGCTTGCTCAGCCACCATCACCCATAGGAACCACTACTTCCACCTATACCGTAGCGACATGTCTGACTGCAATAGACGTCTCTTTGCCTCCGCCCGTAACGAGTGTAAGCGTGTCCTAAATGATGCTAAGTCACTATTTGCGGCTCGAATGAAGGAACGTATTGCATCTCGCAAATTTGGCTCCAAAGATTATTGGCGTCTCTGCAAGAGTGTATTGAATAATTGCAAACCCTCTATACCTCCTCTATTCAACCAGTTCAAGTCTTGACCTCCTCTACCGACAAGGCTGAATGCTTTGCTCGAAATTTTCATCGAACTCGACGCTCGACTCTTCTGGTGTACC